ATGACAGTATTAACTCCACTGGCTCACTGTCTAGATTTCCTCTTCAGCTGGACTCATTCGTTCAACAATCATTCCCCCTAACTCATGAAAGTATTAACTACACTGGCTAGTGAGTCAGTGGTCTAGCGCTCATCTTCAGCTGGACCCATTCATTCAACAATCATTCCCCCTCTAACTCATGACAGTTTTACCTACACTGGCTCACTGTCTAGCGCTCATTTTCAGCTGGACCCATTCATTGAACAATCATTCCCCCTAACTCATGACAGTATTAACTAAACTGACTCACTGTCTAGCGCTCATCTTCAGTTGGACCCATTCATGAACAATCATTCCCCCTAACACATGACAGTACTTGAGTACTCATGACAGTACTTAACTCCACTGGCTCACTGTCTAGATTTCCTTTTCAGCTGGACTCATTCATTCAGGAATCTTAGTAGTAGTATCTGTTGTAGTATCTTTAACAACAGAATCTTAGTTTCATCTAAGTAAGATAAGTAGACCACAGAGATAAGTAAATTGCTATATTCAAATCGAAGCTGTGTCCACGAGTCTTCAAAGAAAAGCCTCAACTTTTTGAGGAAAGAGTAGGAAAATAACAATGTTTACATGCTTTCATTCTTTTTGGCAGCTTTTTCAAGTTAAATATTTTACTGCTTAAACTTTGGATTAGTCCTGAAAATGATGATTTTTATCAAACAAGGAGATCAAGGATGATCAGGATGATTAGGAATTACGATTTTAAATTACTACCACTACCTTTGATGAGTTTTTTTTTTTTTTTTTTTTCAAAGATAAACAAATGAATGACATGAGATTAAACACAATGGTATCATATACCTAGGATACTGCAAGTAGACTTACCATCCTTTTGTAAAAATATCTAAAAAGTTGTTTGACGTCTGTTCACGTGTGGTTACATTTGGGTGCGCTGATGTTGGCAAAATATCACTTTTAATTCAACCAAATATATCATCGTTTGAATAAATGAATATGGTAAATTGTGATGTACATTTTCAATGAGGGTGGGTAATTATCACGGACATTTAGAACATATGGATAACTAGCAGAGTAGCCGTCTGGCATATAAGTATAAAATGCTTATTGCAGTTATACTCAAGCTTTGTGTATGCAATGAGGGAGAACACAGTTTGATAAAATTTGCTTCTTTAAATTTACAGTTTCCATAAACATAGCCATAATGTTCTACCACTTCACCTAAACAATAGAGAAAAATAAATTATAAAAATTCGCTAAATATCACAAATTATTAATGAAATTAAAAACATAAACATAACTGTACACAATCCTACTTTGACATTCCTCATTGAGTATCACAGTTTTTTTGCTGCTTAATTCAAATTAGCTGTTGTCATAAATGCAAAAAAATTATAGTTCTGCACCCTTTTGGTAAATCTTATAACTTTTTAATGCTTTACTCTTTTGGTTGAAACAGCTGACTAAATTCTTTAATTCCCTTTAAATATGAATCATACTTGTATTGAATCATGAATACTTGTAAGATTAACATGGGGAACTACAGAGCCACTGGGGTGGAGCCCGAAAGGATTTTTGAGATACGAATATGCCTATATGTTAATCGGGAATGTGAGCTATCATCATGCCAAATTTGAGCCCAATCTGTCCAGTAGTTAGTGCGTGATTGAACTTCAAACAAACAAACAAGCAAACACACAAACTTTTACATTTATAATATTACTAGCAGAGTACCCGTCCTTCGTACGGGACTGGCGTATAAGTATAAAATGCTTAGTACAGTTATACTCAAGCTTTGCGTTTGCAATGGGGAGTACAAAGTATAATAAAATTTCCTTATTCAAATTTTCGGTATACAATAGTATTACACATCTACAACAGCCATAATGTTCTACTACCTCACCCAAACAATAAAAGAAAAAAATTATTAAAGACTCACAAAATATCACAAATTATTCGTGTCATTACAAACATAAACATAACTGTAAACAGACAGTTCTCATTGCGTATCAAAGTTTTTTGAGCTGTTTTCATAAATAAAAAATAGTAATAGTGCACCCTGTTGGTAAATCGTATAACTTTTAATGCTTTTGCATATCATAGAACCAACCTTTTTAGTTGAAACAGCTGGCTAAATTCTTTAATTCCATTTAAATATGAGTACTCATAAGGTTAACATGGGAAACTCCAGAGCCACTGGGGCGGAGCCCGAAAGGATTTTTGAGATAAGAGTATGCCTATATGTTAATCGGGAATGTGAGCTATCATCATGCCAAATTTCAGCCCAATCCGTCCAGTAATTAATGCGTGATTGAACTTAAAACAAACACAAACTTTCACATTTATAATATTAGTAAGATTAAGATTATCGAATTTAAAAAGCATATCGTATATAGTGGGGAGGCAAATATAGTAAAATATGTAAAATAACAAAGTTGGCTCACCCCGAAAGGTAACCGGTGAACACTATGCTAGATGATATTATATGGTAGTAGAGATGATATTTTGACCGGTGTTCACTCTGTATGAGTGGGACTCTCTTTTCTGGACGCCATTTTCCAAAATGGCGGATGTCACTGTTTGATCTTTGTATAACTCGAGCAAAAATGATCCGATTTTGATGAAATTTGGTATAAACGTTTAAACTTACATTTATTCAAATGAGTTTGCGAATCAGCATGATCGGACCATGGTAGCGGGGGTTTATGGGGGGTTTTATGGGGTAAAAATGGGATTTTCTTATTTTTTGCCCCCAAAGCACAGAATTTTCCAATTTCTCTCTAAACCATTTTAAGGAACTTAAAAAAACAAATAATTTAGTATATTAAAGTTTTTATGTACCCTTATTGGTTACGGAGAAAATTCAAAAAAGTGTTAATTTAAAATTCCCATGTTATTCTTATTGAGGATATTGTCAACTCTTGTAGTTTGCTTGTTTATGGATATATTTTGATCAAACTTGGTAAACTTATTTATTTATATTTAAGCTATTAATATTCTACTAACATTCACACTTTATTAGCCTCCCTGTAGCAGCAAACCTAGGTACTCGTTAAACCTAATGCTATTTCAATTCAACTAATTTAAAAACAAATCAGGCAAATGGAAATTCGCTTAGTCTGCAGGTTTGCTGTGATGGGGGTATTTTATTCTTGACATTTCTTCCTAAACCTACTGGTACAGGAGATTTAAAAAGCAGTTAGTTAAAGTTAGGATTTCCTCAATGATAAATACATTGATCCGTTTTAACTGTCACCCTAATATATCCCGTTGGGCCGTCGCACTTTTCTATATATACAATTTATCTTCTATTTTAAAAATAATGGACCCCAATACAATCAGACATTAAATTAACTTTTATTTAATTATTATCAGTTATTACAACAATATTTCTTTAAACATAAATAATGATATTTCTTCTCATTAAACATGAAAACACTAGTAAAAGGTTCTTTGTGCAGGGTCTAACCCACCTTTTAGTATACATTTAAGAGAATATATATTCAAGAGTTATACTATTTCTTCCTCATTGTCCTGATTTGATTATATATTCTTACATTTCTCTAGAGAACATCCACACACTTTGAGACATGGTAGCTTGTTTATTGTACACACACACTTAGATCGAGAACAATCTGTAGTACATCCGCACTGAACGAGCTGTTTGTATGTCTCAAAGTGTGTGGATGTTCTCTAGAGAAATGTAAGAATATATAATCAAATCAGGACAATGAGGAAGAAATAGTATAACTCTCGCCTCCCCACTAATAGGCCTATAATCGATTGAAAGAAATATGTGACCACGTGATGTTTATTTAAAAGATATTTACAAGGTTTTCATTATAAAACTGCCAGGATTTTTCTTTATGCGTGTAAACTAGCTGTTCTGAATTATTCCATTTTAATCGACTACTTGATTCCCGTACGTAGGACGATCCAACAGCTAGTTGTATAGTATTACATTACTTGTGGATGGATTACTTAGACGTAGATGTTTTATAAATAAAGCAAGACCGAATATGTCTCGCCTTTGTAATCTATATCTAATCTACGACTATCAGCCTAGGGAAGTCGGTTAGTCGCCCCAGATTAAAACCCACATTTTTTGTAGGTAAAACAAACCTTTTTTATAAGAAAGTGGACTTTTTCAACATTGGAACAAGTGTTATTGGTAGTTTAAATTGATTTTGCCAGATCAGGGGTGTTGAGCATTATATATACTTTATACAATAAGGTTTTTCTCTGTTACATCCCTTTTCGCGTGTGTCACTTTTGTTCCGCGGTTGAAGGCTAATTTCTTTACATCACTTTTGTTCCGGGGGTTAGCAGGTAGATTTCGGGCCCGGCCAAAACATCGCTTGTTCCACGAGAGAGGAGCCTGCACTCTTCCTCCCCCAAATTCTCTCTTTTGTTCTCCTCAAAATTCTTTCTTTCATAGGTTAGGTTAGGTTTTATTATTTAAGTAATTGATATTTTTTCTAAGTAGAAAATTATAATTTGACGATTTTTAAAGCCCGAATGAAAGAAAGAATTAGGAGGAGCGCGAAAGAGAGGATTTGGGGGAGGGAGAGTAATGCCCCCTCTCTCACGGAACAAGAGAGACGTCCGCGGAACAAAAGCAATGTTTTGGCTGGTCCCGAAATCTACCTTCTGCCCCCGGAACAAAAGTGATGTGAAAAAATAAGCCTTCAACCACGAAACAAAAGTGATACAGCCCCCTTTTCTATCCGTTTTTCTCAAACAGATTTTTACGATTGATGTAGGGAATGTAAGCTTTTGACCTGTTTAAGAACAAAATTGTAAAAATATTTGTCTATTGCCCTGGCTGTCCAATATTTTTCATTCAACATCATCTGTCACTAAAGTAGTGTACATTCATCCTAAAGTGAGCTACTGAGTTACTAGTTGTTATGTATTACAAGTCACTACGAGATACTAGTTTTTATGTATTAGTCACAATATAATAATGTAAAATGTATCAATACAACAATTTTTCTCACCATATCGGCAGTGTCCAAGCGTGGTGGCGGGACTAAACTGGGGCACTTCTCACTTCACCTGTCAACAAAATCGTTTTTGTTAAAAATAAAACAAGAAAACAAAATCTACCACAATAACAAGATCCGTCGTCACTCGTCGGAAAATTTGGCACTATTAGCATACATTGAGAATGTTGTTAACAAGTAGGCCTAGGCCTGTTCTTATTACAAAACAGTGAATTTTATGTCCAACGAGTGCATTAACATACCTAACGGAAAAGTTGCCTTGTATTTTGGAGACCTAAATCTGTAGCGAAGTTACCGATAATTTGGTGCCAAACCCGTTAACTAAAAGGATGGAAAGTCATTCAGCCAAACATAAAATAAAATTATTATCATTTACTACTAGAGCTCACCCCGTGGTCGAAAACTCGACCAAAAGTATATACTGTGCAAACCTCTCTATTTTCACCCCACGCTGTAAATAAAACGAGCGATTGGAATTTATTACATGTGTTTTGATTTTCTGTTAATATTTTGTTGTTATTTCGTCACCAACATGGCACTTTCAAACTTTCAAATTGGGTGATATTTTAATAAATTATTAGTGTTTAAGTGCCAGATTATTATAAAATAAATCACATAACATAAACATAAATTATTTTAAGTTTATACTTCATTTTACAATAATGATTAAAACTGCAGTTAAAAGTTTGTTCGTTATTCATACTATTTTTGAAAGTTTTCAGAATTTCACCTTCTTTTTTTCATTTTACGTTCCTCACCAGTTTTTTTTTTCTTTGTTTCTTTCTGCACCTGCCACGCCGTTTACGCCTTGATGTATTATGTTGAGATTCCGGGATCGGCTGACATGGGAGAATCGGGATCTTTTTATGGCTCTAAAACTTCGAAGTGCCCGCTAGACAGGGATTGTGTAAGTCTGAGTCTTTTCACGGGATTACATTCGTCACCAAACTTGACATATAATTCACCATTTAGATAAACCTCTAAAACAAATGTGAATATTTGTGACGCCGCAACCAGCTCACATAACTTAACAAAGGTAAAGGCTTATACATTTCATAGAAGTATTCCCTGGAATTAAGGTTAAGAATTATTAACCCTCGAACTAAGAAGGTTAAGGTTAAGAATGATTAAGAATTCCCGTTACTGTTCTGGGATGAGAATGAGAAGTAGTCCCAGTTCCTCACAACCTGTTCAACAATTGCTTGAACATGAACAAACACGCACCATCTCCTCTGTGAATGATATTGTGTGGAACGAACTCGCTATTAACATTTAAAACCTCAGTGTCCATACTATGAAACGGTTTAAACAATTATATTGTCAATTATATTTAGCCTCCTGATCGCATTTAAATACTATAAATTGGTGTAAATACGTGCATTTATGTGATCCTGTTTGTAGGTGAGTTGCTACCAGTTTCAACATAGGAGTCATCTTGACTGATTAAAGAGTCTAGACATAACTCCCGCCCGATCACGTCTTGTCCCGTTTCAGTACTTTTTCCCCTAAATGTTCCTATTTATGTCCGTGTACGCGTTCGTGTTTTGTTCATTTATTTATTATCCATTGACGGCCTTCAAATGAAGCGAGAAGACATCTTTTACAGCCTAAAGGTGACTCATATGTAAGTTGAAACCGGTAGCAACTCAGCTACAAACAGGATCGCATGAATGCAGGTATTTACACAAATTTATGAGGTTTAAACAACTACAAAAATATAAACAGAACTATATCATAAGTTCTAAAATGCAATAAAAAAACTAAGTTTAATTCTACTTTCTTCAACACTAATCACACATATTAAAAGTTGATAAAACTAAAATACTACAATAAATTAGGTTAATTTCGACACTGAGCCATAGTAATAACTGGAGTAACCACTCTGTGTTTAAAAAACGTACCACTGTTTTTGCTGGTTTTGTTTCAGAGTTTCGTTTTGTTAGGTTGGCCGGGTGATCGGGTTGGTGGGACTTGTCAAATTAGAGGCAAGATCAAGATGGCGTCATCCTGTTTTGTTAGTAGTAATCAAAAATCTGTTAACTCAACATTATGATTGCAATTGCAATATAAGTTTATTTATTTATTTTACGAGCAAGAGCAACCCATTTTAACAAGATCATAAACCGATGGTCGTTATTTAATCAAATGCCATAGGGCTATTGGCCTAAACCAATATCTCCAAACCAGGAAACTTGACTAGCCTATTTTCACCACATAGCTTGAAAAGAGGTAAATAAGTTAGTATTTATTTACTATCAAACAAAAACAATTTATAATGTTTAAAAATAACTTTAAATACAGAGGTTTTAACGTGCAATAACTTAAATAAGTTTTTGATACAAGTCCTTGAAATAACGAATAACATAAAGCCAAATAAATAGTATGGTTAGGTTAGAATGAGTTGGAATTATTTGACAGCATCCCACCAACCGATCACACGGCCAACCTTAACACGAAACACCGAAAACAAACCAGCCAAAACAGTGGCACGTTTTTCTCTAACGTTTAACCAGAGAGTAGTGACTCCAGTTATAATCTATATCTCAATGAATTTCGATGACACAACTATTATGATGTTTACATGGTCCGAAATAACCTTAGTAAATTTAATTTTTAGTCTAACAGCTGATGAATAAATTGCAGACAATTACTCTCATTTCAAGTAGGTCTGATCTGATCCAAGGTGGTTTCTGATCTGCGATAATGTAAACAAAAACCCGAAACAAATTATTCTTCCTATATGAACTCCATGCTAACTTTGACCTTCTGTGGGGCGGGGCTCATAAGGAATTTTGTAAAATCCCTTCTAATTGTCTGCCTACGCTATGAGAGGAACATGTATGCAAAATCTCATGCTTGTGCTATGGTTTGGCCTGTGTGTTCATCGGAATTTCGCATTTATACAGGGTGTTTGGTAGTCAGTGACAAATATTTTAAGGCATTATTAAGCACGCAAATTGCGATAAAAATACGCAATTTGAATAGTTATATCTCACTCCTACTTCCAGCAACAGCCATTTTTTGATTTTTCTAAATTTCTCGACACTGCCTAATAAAATCTCATATTTCTCAACTTTAAACCTACATAATGATATTTTCAGTTGCATTTTAGAATCGTCATTAAATTTTATATGAGAACACGTATAATATGGTACAGCTTAACCCATTCAAATGTTTGTAAATTCGACTTAAATAACAATTTATGAAAAATCAATAAAAAGGGCGCTACAACTCGCTTAAGAATTTTTTGATCGAATTGTGTTAAAGACCGTCAAATAGTATAAAAAACATCTCCACATTTCAAGCTTTAAAATGATATGCAATATGTGTCATGTTATGTCAGCCTAAGGGGAGAAATATTCCATTAAACATAAAATTAATCATTTTTTCATTAACTGTACTCATTAATTACATGAACGCATTAAGTGAAAGTTGTGTGCAAAAGGTATCTGTAATTAAGTATACAAATTTTCAAATACAAGGTATATTATTTATTGGAAACATACAAAAATCATGGAAGTAGGATACCCAGCTCTTGCGGGGACCAATCAGAGAGCAGCATTTCATCCCCACCCCTCCCCCTAGGCCACGCCCCCTTTTGTCCAACGTGGTCGCCCTCTGGTGTCCCACGTGGTCTAACCTCACTTTTGTTTTCGCGCCAAACATCTAACCTCACTTTACGTATTGCATACGTAGGTTCCCGCCAAACGAAAAAAAAACTTCACCTTCCCGCCAAGTAACATAACCTCACTTTCGCGCCAAACGAAAAAAATCACCTTCCCGCCAAGTAACATAACCTCACTTTCGCGCCAAACGAAAAAAATCACCTTCCCGCCAAGTGACATAACCTCACTTTTATTTTTGCGCCAAACGAAAAAAAATCTTACTTCTTCTTCACCGATTCTCGCCAAACGAAAAAACTTCCCTCCATGTCCCTAGCAAATAGTATATAGAAAACTTGTTGTGCACCCTTTAGGACAGGGTTTGGGACTGTCCGAGTGTCTGAAGGACACCCCCAGGTTCAGGTATTATATCGTATCGTACTTGTATCCAGAGGAACTGGCTTAGTATTATACCATATAATACCCCCCTCCCTTATTTTGAGGGTGCACTTGGAATTGAAAACGCAGTTATAATGTTACAAATATTTATTCTATAAGACACATTACTAATTTATAAAGAATTGAGTGAAGTGTTAAAACTACTGAGCACTACTACTACTACTACTGAACTACATGCTAAAAACTAATGTTTATAAATAAGCACATTTGGGGAATTCCCCACCATCCCCGTACATTTAACACTATATAATTTAGAGTTTGTGAAAAATTCTAGGTCCTCGTCTGTGAGGAGGCTGGTGAACCTCGAGGGTAAAAATGTCACCCTCTCCTCGCCGGCAGATGTGGTGATGTGTAGTACAATCACCATGGTTCCAAATCTCGTGTTGATTCGTCTAGCAGATTGAATTTTCGCCGGCTCGGTCAGATCTTTGATGGGGACTTTCAAAGGGGAAGAGAGCACCTCGCAAGACGACAGCTTTGTAGAAAGATCCATCTAAAACCATATAATATTGTCGTAATAATATTGTCTGGATAGTCGAGTGGTTATAGTGTTTGCTTTCAGATCTGGAGGTTGCTGGTTCGATCCCTAGTCGATCCCTAAAAACTATGGGAACTATGTAAATATGATAGCAAAGAGGACCCATGCTGTTATTTTTATACTACAAGCTACATTAGTAAACTACAGCAGCGATATTTACCTTGTTGTAGGGGATGTGGAGAGTGTCTACCCCTTGGCAGATGCCTCTGGTTTTATACCGGGGTAGTGGGGAGCGCAAGGGCGGGGCTTAGAAAAATAATTCTTTCCTGCCGAGGACGGCCTTTCTACAGAATGGACACCTAACAATACGATTAGCACAATTTTTACAAAGAGTGTGCCAGCAAGTCATTAATACTATAGTCGGTAGATTTTCAAAACAAATACGACAACTGATTGTTCCTGCAGAGGGTAACTCTTCATTAGAACTGGTATCGCTATCGATATCTCTGGTTC